TTTAATTTTCTTGCTGTCTTTCGGGTCTCCGAGTGCCTCTTGGTGACTCTATTTCTGGATCTCTCACGTTCTTTCAGGTTTCTTAGCGATTTCTTGGGTTCTTCCGTGGTCTCTCCGGTCTCTGCCTCTGTGTCTGTCTCTCTCGGGTTTCTGGGATTCTCTCGTCCTGTCTCTGGGTCTCTTCGGGATGTCTCGTCGTCTCTCCAGATCTCTGTAGCCTCCCGGGACTCTGCGCTCCCACGCTCCCGCGGTGGCCCGGGAAGCTCGCTCGCTCGCACCTCCAGGTTCCTGACACCCCCCCGCCCCGCCCCTTCCCGGCTGCTTTGATCCCGCACGCGTCGCGCCAGCAGGCGGGCTGGCGGGCGCACGGCCACCTGCCGCGGCCACTTGGGAGCCGGGCCAGGGGCGGCCCGGGTCTCCGGGACTAGCCGAGCTAGCTTTCCGCTCGATTCCAGCGCGTCCCGCCTTCCAGCGCCTTCCGCCGCCTCCCTCCACGTCCCTCCTCCTGACAGTGTCTCCCACGGCTGCTGGGGCTTCTGTGGGCCCAGGTTTCCTGTTCTTTGAGTCTGGGTCGGGTCTTTGTCTATCTCAGTCTCTCTCGGTCCGTTTCTTTTCTCTGCTTTCTGTCTCCTGTCTCTTTCAGCATATTTCATCTAAGCAGAGGTCTGAGTCTCCGTCTAGATGGTGTCAGTAACTAGCAACACTGTCTTCTCAGCACTGAGCTGTGACAGTGGCCCCAGGAGGGAACTGTAAAACAATCTGAGCATTTGTATGTCTATAAGCGCAGCTGCTATAATTCATTCACTCAGCCTGTATTTATACAGTGCCTCTTATGTTGGGCATTGGGAGCCCACTGGATCTGGGCTCCCCTGAGGCTTGCATTATAGTGGGGGACAAGGAGAGAGAAAATGATCAAGAAGGAAGAAAATATAATTCAGATGGTTATAAAGTTGTGGGGAGTGGAGGACGATTTTTGGTAATGAGAGTGCGGTGCTAAGTTTTGTACAGGTGGTCAGAGACAGCCTCTATGAAGAGGTGATAATTTGACCCGGCCATGAATCCAGGCAAAAGGAACAGCAAATACGAAGTCCCTGTGATAGGAAAGTGTTGTGATCGAGGCAGCTAGAGAAAGAGGGCCAAAGAACCTAGGAAAGAAAATTTGGGAGTGGCAGAAATAATATGGGAGGGTCAGGCATGGCCCAGCAAACAGAATTTTGGAGGCTCCCAGAGGGTTTGGGTTTTAGTCTAAGTGCAATGGGGAGCCAGTGGAGAATCTTCATCAGGACAGGCATATTCTCCGACTTATGTTTAAAAGATCATTTTTGAGGGCTGGGGTTGTGGCTTAATAGTAGAGTGCTTGCCTAGCTCGTGGGAGGCACTGGGTTCAATCCTCAGCATCACATAAAAATAAGTAAATAAAATAAAAATATTGTGTCCAACGACAACTAAAAAAATTGTTTTGAACTGATTGTAATTGTGCAGGCCTATATATAGTTCCAGGTACTCTAGTTCTTGGGCAGCTTGGGCAACATGAGACCCCCCTAATGGGAAAAAAAAAAAAAAAGGCATCCTAACTGGATCCCTTGTTCTTCTATTTGCCATACTCTCTCTCCCCCACCTCACTATGGGAGGGGGTCTTCCCTGCTACCCAGGCTGATTTCTCCACCCCCACTGGGTCTACTCACAACCCTGGGGTCGGCATTATTCCCATCAGCATCCAAAGTGCTACAGATTGTTTGAGAAAAAAAAGGTATGAAATTCTCGTTTTGAAAAGCAGAAAAATAAGCTTCCAAGCCCTTTAGGAGACTATGGCTTTCTAAGCAGGCTGACAACTGCTTTGCAATATACAACCAAGAATTTCAAGTGCACATGCCATTCACCATGAAACTAATGAAATCCAGGATTGCTCACTTACACAGACTCTGGGAGCACTCCAGCAAGCTGTCCACCAGGTCATAGGCTTCTGTAAATTTTTGCAAACATATATTTTAAGTGCAAGTGGTAAAGACCAATCTTTTTTCTACTCCAGCTGCCCCTCCATTGCATCCTCTCCATTGTGTTGGAGTGTCTGTGTACATTTTGGAGTTTTGGTTATGGAGAAGATAAGGTGGGCAAACATCAGATTTGCAGTTTCCTGGGTTATGTTTCTGTGATTTGTAGTTATTCTCACATTGTTATTTTAGCCTAGACCTCTGGTGTAGAAATGGCTTCCAGAATATTCCTGTCATCTGTGCCTGTGGGGTGCAGGGCCATTGGGTACATGTGATATGAAAGAGTTCTTAGCACTCTAAGTACCTGGATAGTTAGAGGAGTAGCAAGATTTGAAATACATAGAGGCAGTAGCTAGTCTTTGGAAAGTATAGAGGTACAGTTAATTAATACAAGTAAGTTGTTTTTCTGGACTTTGTAGAATTTGTCAGCTTTTATTTTTAATTTATTATCTTTTTTTTTTTTATGTGGTACTGGGCATCATACCCAGGGACAATTTACCCCTAAGCTACATCCCCAGCCCTTTTTATCTTTTATTTTGAGACAGGGTCTTGCAAAGTTGCCCAAGCTGTCTTCAAACTTGCCATCTTCCTACCTCAGCCTCCCAAGTTGCTGAGGTTATAGGCATGCATCACCACACCTTGCTGTTGTTGCTATTGTTGTTGTTGTTGTTGTTGTTGTTGTTATAACCAGGGATTGAACCCAGGGTGCTTAACCACTAAGCCATATCCCCAGCCCTTTTTTATAATTTATTTTGAGACAGGGAGGTTCTTAGGGTCTTGCTAAATTGCTAAGGCTGGCTTTGAATTCTTTTTATTTATTATTTTTTTAACATATGATAGCAGAATGCATTATAATTCATATTATACATATAGAACACAATTTTTCATACCTTTGGTTGTATATAAAGTATATTCACACCAATTTCTGTCTTCGTACATGTACTTTGGATAATGATGTTCATCACATCCCACCATCATTTCTAATCCCCATTCTCTCCCTTCCTCTCCCACCCCTTGGCCCTATGGCTTTGAATTCTCGATCTTCCTGCCTCAGCCTCCTGAGCTGCTGAAATTACAAGCATGTGTCACTGCACCCAGCTCATTATTATTTTTGATACTGGGCCTTGGTATATTGCCCAGGCTGATCTTTAACTCTTGGGTCCAAGCGATTCTACCACCTTAGTCTTCCAAGTAGCTGGGATGACAGGAGCACACCATTTCCCAGCTATTTATTAGCCTTTTAAATTGGTAGCTTGTTGTGCTCTTTTTTATTCTAAATGCTACTTTTTATACATTATTATTATTATTATTATGCAAATTTCAGGCCCTCAAAATCTAGAGCTGGAACTGGGGTTGTAGCTCAGTGGTAGAGCACTTGCCAAGACATGTGAGGCATGGGTTCCATCCTCAGCACCACATACAAACAATGGATGTTGTGTCCACCAAAAACTAAAAAATAAAAGTTAAAAATTCTCTTTCGTTCTCTTTAAAAAATAAAATAAAAAATAAATAATTAAAGGTATTGTGTTCATCTAAAACTAAAAAAAAAAAAAAAAAAAAATTTTTAAAAACCTAGAGCTGGGCTGGGGATGTGGCTCAAGCGGTAGCGTGCTCGCCTGGCATGCGTGCGGCCAGGGTTCGATCCTCAGCACCACATACCAACAAAGATATTGTGTCCTCCAAGAACTAAAAAATAAATATTAAAAAAATTCTCTCTCTCTCTCTCTCTCTCTCTCTCTCTCTCTCTCTCTCTCTCTCTCTCTCTCTCTCCTCTCTCTCTAAAAAAAAAAAAAAAAAAAAAAAAAAAAAAAAAAAACCCTAGAGCTGCTGCAGGGTGAAATGAGTTGAATGGACTGGGTAAGGTCCAGACATGGCCTCTGAGGATGCCCCCTATTCCTGTCCCCAGCATGTATGTGTGTGAGAGTGTCTGTTGGGGAGGGTGTGTTTCCAAGTGGGTTTTAATGGCTCTGTTAGCAAGGGCCTAAGTCTGTAAACACAGTGGTCTTTCCCTGGCTGCCCTCCAACAGTGGGCTACACTGGGGCTTGGGGAAGAGAGCTGGAGTCCCACATGCGATGGGGCAGCAGAGGGTGGGAAGGAACAGAGACAGCTGGTGAAGTGATCTAGCTTCCCCTCTCCTACTGTGCTTCTCCTCAAGCCTGGGTTTCAGGGCTCTGCTCCTCCCTCTTCAGTTCTTCAAAGGGAAGGCTAGTTTCCTAGGACCCCCTGGATCCTGGGTAGGAGAGTCTGGAGGGTAGGGACTGGGAAGTAGAAGGACTAGTGTCCTGAGCCAAGGGCTGAATCCAGAGAGATTTCAAAGCCCACCAGGCAAACTTTTGATGTCCTGTCACTCTCTACTTACCTTAGGAGTCAAA